TCGTGCTGGACATCGAGTAATCCGCCGGAACGGCTGCGGTAGACGATTTCGTCGAGGGAATAAGACTCATTGGAGTCCGGGTCGGCGTTGAAGGGGACGTAGCGAGCGGAGAAGCCGTGGGATGAGCAGTTCCGTCTCGCCTCTTCGCGGATGTCGGCGGGGCGCCTGGTTTTCTGTGCTTGGATGGCAGACTGTTCGTCGGAAGTAGCAGCAGCTTTGGTGGGAGTGAAGAAACGTGCGGCGGAGGGTTTGTGAGGTTTTGGTTGGGGATGGGGCTGAGGGGCTAGGAAGGATAACCTTAACAAAGCAGCTGCCATTGATCACCACCACCGGAGACGGCGAACGGTAAAGAAGCGCGGCGTGCGGGAAATCTTACTGCATGAAGAAAATAGACAAAATTTTGACGGCAGGAATTTCGTTATTACGGAGTAATAATGACAAACGGAGACGGACACATTTTTGGAACTGGTGGGCCCAACTTAAAAGTAGTCCGTACAAAATTTTGGTTGATAGGCCTTTTATATGTGGGCAGCATACATCTAGTCCAGCACATAACAGTAGTAACCTCCGCACGATGACTCCAGGTTTCGAACTTTGGTCATTTTTGCAATTTTCTCACCACTAAACTAACTGAGTTATTCGTACGGGCAAGTAATCCGTACATTAAATCATAGGAGGTGGGCAATTCGGTTTGCAGTTGGACTTTAATCGGTTTTTATTCGATTTCGATCTATTTATTTGGGGAGATATTGTACTAAATTAAAATCATTTGTGTTTTAGTTTGGTTTCGTTTTGATCTTGGTTCGGTTTGGTTTCAAATTCGATTTAACAAAGTGAAAAATTATTAAGTTCAATTTAGTTCGATTTCATATGTTTATTAGTTATTACGTATTACGGAGTAGTTAGTATTACTTTCTTTCCACTAATATTGAGACATGAGGAGGTGGTGTGATTATTAAGAAAAGTTGGATTATATGTGAATATGTAACTAAAATAAATTGTTACTCTGTATCACTTCCTTGTGAATTATGTGTAATTTAAATGAACTAAATGTTACTCTCTCCGTTCCATTTTGGTTGTCCTACTTTCCTTTTAGGGTTGTCCCAAAATGAATGTCGTGTTTCCCTTTTCTTATCATTTCACTTTATTCTACTCAAATATCAACCACAACTTTTACTTTGCAACCATTTTATTAATAATCATGTCAAATTGAAAGTAGACAACCAATATGGGACGGAGGTAGGTCAGGTAGTACTAATTAAAATATCAGTAATACATTAAGATAGCACAAGTGTAACTAATACTTCGTACAAAGTTATATACTACCCAGTAGTACATATTTAACTGCTACATATTAATTTTCTAGTACATATTTGGGTATTTAATTATGTAAATACTAAATAGCTATTAGTACTACATATTAATATAACTAACTACGCCTAAAATGTACTATGGGTGTACTTGAATCATTTCTTGAAAAAATTACTTCATGCACTATCTTGTTTCCGCATGAAAATGCAATCATTTTTCCTTTCATTTTTTCCACTGACTCTGAGGCTTCTCATTTTAACAAGGTTTAACACTAATATAAAAGTCAGCCTAGCTAGAGCTAGGGATGCATTACTTAAACAATGGTGAAAGGCAAGGCACTTAACCATTTTAAACAAAGAGTGAATGAGATTCCAAGGCAAGTTTTTGAAATGCTAAAAGCCAAGGCATACAACAATGAACAATCTAAACCCACTTTCAAAGCCTATCACTAAGGATGGCGATGGGACGGGGACCCGTGGGGAACCGCCCCGCGGGGGAAGGATGGGGCGGGGCTTGGGGTGGGGGCGGGGATGGGTGATATATTTCTACTATATCCCGCTAAAATATGGGGCGGGGATGGGGATTACTACACTCGCCCCCGCCCCATACCCATTATAATTAAATATATACTCAAACATACATATATATATACAGAGGACTGCTCAGGTCCCTCCGGAGGGACGGGAGGGACCGTCCGAACTTTACTGTTTGGGGCGGTTCCCGGTGGAATTTTTTGATGAAATTTTTTGAGCATGTTCCTCGTCAAGTCTAGTTTGTCCATACCAAATTTCAGCTCAAAATTCGATCGGGAAGGCAGTCAAATAAATTCTTGAAACTTACTGCACTTTATATATGCGCAGAATGTGCAGTAAGCTTCAAGAATTTATTTCACAGCCTTCCCAGTCGAATTTTGAGCTGAAATTTGATATGGACAAACTAGACTTGATGACGAACATGCTCAAAAAATTTCATCAAAAAATTCCACCGGGAACCGCCCCAAACAGTAAAGTTCGGACGGTCCCTCCCGTCCCTCCGGAGGGACCTGATCTTTTCTGTATATATACATACATATATTAATAATGTATAAACATATTTAATTAAATTATATGTACTATATAACAAACACATACACATACTTATAGACATGCATACATGTATGTGTATTAGTCATTATTAATGAACTAATACTACGTAAGTATTATATTAGAATAATAAGTAATGACTAAAAATATTTATCATAAATGATATATGAGTTAAAAGTGAGAAACTAAGTAAACCGAACACACACACATGTATAATATACTACTACCTCCGTCCCCCTAAGTTTGGGACAAAGGGGTGTGGTGTGGTTTTTAAGAAAAAGTAGAATTGTGTGATTGGTATTGAATTGAAAAAGTGTAAATAAAGTAAGAATGAATTCTAACCACTTAATATTACCAAATATGGTATGGGACAAACTTAATGGGACGGACGAAAAAGATAAAACGGGACAAAGTTAAGGGGACAGAGAGAATAGTATATAATATATAATTAATTGTAGTATAATTGATAAGAAATTTGGAACGACATACATGATGGTAATATGTTTACTTATATTTTTAGTTTTGTTATTTTCATAGAACTTATTCAAATTGAAGAGTTATTAAAAAGAAGAGTTGCGCAAGGTGTACACATTTTGCTCTACACCTTTCGTACGCTTGTCTGTCTCACGCACAAACAATTGTCTATCCACAGACAATTCTGTAGAGTTGTGTGTGGACATAAAATTGTTTGTGCGTGAGACAGAGACAAGTGTACGAAAAGTGTACACCAAAATGTGTACATCAAGCATTAACATCTTTAGAGGGTGTTTGGATCTGATTCTCAAAACTGATTCTGCTCTTTCAGGGAGCAGAAGCAGAAACTGGAGTGTTTGGGTGAAATTCTATAAGCACTTCTGGAGCTCTAATTTACTCTCAAAATCAGTTTTTTTAGAAGCTGGGGGGTACCAGCTTCTGAAAACTGATTCTGATTCTGCTTCTGCTTTTAAAAAAGAAGCAGAAGCAGAATCAGTTCCAAACACCCCCTTACTCCTTTCATTTATTGGATCCCAATTTCAGCTAAACGTTCTGATGAATGGGTTGTTTGGAATTACCTTGTTCGCAATGGATGCTCTGGCAATCAAGCAATATGCAGATGTCTAATCTTCAAGCGAGCTTGACTTGGCAGACCTTGATGATAAAATTCACAGATTGCCGTTTGTTTTAAGAATACGCCGCGCAAAACAAGATGATGATGGCATGCAGGCTAATGGCATCAATGCATCATCATCAGCACTATTCTATTGACAGTTTCCCCCGTATGGCTTTTACAAAATCAACGTTGACCTTTTTGTTAATATGTTGCCTTTCGTTGTAAATCTTTTGCTTACCAACACCAGCTTCATTGCAATAAATTCCACTTGGGTGGACAATTTAAGCATTCAGAACTGAAATGTTAGGTAATAGCTTTTACCTTTTGTCTAAAGCTCAAAACACAGACGACCTGGAAAGATCTGGAGCTTCATAAAACAATCCCTGAATATAGTTTTACTACAAAAGTAATACTACAATTGGTTTTTTAGTTGCATTTTTAGAACAAGCATTCAAATTGGATTTTCTTTGTAAACCTCTTTAAAATAAGCTAACCAACATGTCTTCAATATGGGGTGTTACGAATTGATTTTGCTTCTACTTCTTTTAATATTTTTAAAATCATAATTAGAACCAGAATCAATTTTTCAGGATCTGCCCCAGCTTCTCAAAAACCGCTTCTAGGAGTGATTTGGAGCACTTAGAAGTATTTCTACACTTCCACTCAAACACTCAATATCTGCTTATGCTCTTTCAGGAAGCAAATCCAAGCACCCTTACATGAGTCAGTTTTAAGAAGCAGTTTCAAGATTCAATTTCATTTGATTGCTTCATCGGCTGATTTTATCTCCAAAACAAAAGATCTTTCTGTAGACAGATGAGTCATGAGTCCGTCCAACAGCATGGTGACTTTACCTCATTTTAGCTTCCTATTTGTTAACTTTTAATATTACTTCTTTACCCTTCAAAATCTCTTATATTCATATAAGCAACTGACCCATGAAAAGTATGAGAGTATTAAGGGACAACATAATTTGGAGTGTGAATGGATTGTGGTTGGCCTGGACAATGGTTTTGCTAAAACAGAAGTGTTGATTTGAACACAAGAGTCATGTTTTCTTGAGCAGGAGAATGTTGCACTCCAAAAGTCTCTCCTGTTTGTAACATTCTTCTTTGGCACCGCACCTTTGTGTAACCTGCCTATTTTCCAGACTTTGATTTTATTTTATTTTCATGTCTTTTTAGTCAATCTTCAGTTTTTGCCTGGCACACTGGTCTGTTCTTGTTCATATTTTTCTGCAGTTCATAACAGCAATAGCACTCTCCTGTTTGTCAATCACCACTCCCTTATCAACTTAGCGATTATTCTTAAACAAAGTGTGAGGCGTTCATCGAATGCATAGATAAGTAGTTTGCTTTCAAAGGGCAGTTGTTCCCTTTCTATGTGTTCAGTTGAGCCTATGATTTATTCAGTTGAGCCTATGATTTAAAATAAATCTTACTCTGAGAATAAAACTTTAAATCAACTAGTCATATTTTTAGACTTCATCCATATTTAGACTTTGTCCATAAATTTCTTTTGTTATAAACAAACTAAACAAAGTGTTCATTCACTGCCTCCCGGTATATCTTCATAGTTTATACATATGCATATCATATATGTATACATGATTGTCATGTTAGTAGGAAGATTATATGCTTGTAAAATATGAAAGCAATACACATTATTCGAGAAGAAAATAAAAATAATACAGTAGGATTAAGAATGACCAAATTCGAAGTTTGAGATTGATCACTTTATTATGCTGCTACAGCAAGATCACAATAGGGGAAAGAAAGAACCCAGAAAGTACAGATGTTCTTGCCAAGCTACAAATGTTTTATTGATTATACAACAAGAACAATGCGAAACAAAAAAGAAGCATTTTAGCGGTACTGACTTGCCAGCTCTCCATCTTTGACAATGTAATTCTGGGCAGGGAATTCTTCACCCTTAAAGTACCTCTCCAGCATGTCCTTAGTTCCAGCAGCATACCTCAGCTATAACAGCAGTTCAAGTGAACAGTTTCAAATACCATACTCATCATGTACTTAGACAACATGTCAAAAATGATTCATACCTGTGCATCAATGGTCGTCCCGGAAATATGAGGTGTCATGGCTTGGTTTGGCATGTATCGCCATGGGTGGTCCTTGGGAGCTGGTTGCGGGTACCAAACATCCCCACTGTAGCCTAAATGTTGAAAAGGAAAGCCGTTCATTCATAGGGAGTATTATATCTTGCAAAGGTACATAGGTAAAGGGTATATATTTGTGCCTTATCCAAACATGCATATAATATTCCATATCATATCAGAATAGGTAGGTTTGTCTGTCCTGTAAACTTAATGGTACAGATAAGGGTTTAAAATGTTGAATTGATTGTAATACCTGCAATGTGTCCAGTGGAACAAGCATCAGCAACTGCTTGAGTGTCCATGATTGCGCCCCGGGCATTGTTCACCACCAACACTCCCTTCTTCATCTTCCCAATCCTCTTCTTGTCAAACATCCCCCTGCATCAACATAAGTAGTATAACAAAAGGCCTTGGTGAACTTTACATGCATATACACATATCTAATGACATGAAATAGGGACAAAAAAGGAAGTGATCAATCTCTACTTGGTTTTATCAGTTAGAGGGGTGTTTATGACAACAATGTCACATTTGGAGAGCATCTCATCAAGGTCTTCCTCAAAACTCGCACCAATCTCTTTCTCCAGTTCAGGATCCATCTTGAGACGATCATGATAGAGAAGATTACAGTTGAAAGGTTTCAACCTTTGGAGCAAAAGCCGTCCAATACGACCAGCACCGACAGTTCCAACCGTTTTCCCTTCCAAATCATAAGCTCTGTAAGCAATTTTGGCGACATCCCACTCCCCATTGATGACCTGATGGTGTCCGGGCAAGAAATTTCTAACGAGAATCAAGATACGCATCAGTTCATCCTCGGCGACGGAGACGACGTTGCTCCCGGTAACTTCCGCCACCGTAAGTCCGGCATCCGCCGCAGCGTTGAGATCTATGTGGTCCGAGCCAATACCAGCCGTGAGCAACAGCTGCAGATTCTTCGCCTTTTTAATCCTCTCAGCAGTGACGTAGGCGGGATGGAAGGGAGTGGTGATCAGCACGTGTAAATCGGGAATATGCTTTTCCAGCTCTGTCAATCGGGTCAAAAAAGGATCCGATTACGAAATTTCCACCGCATGATGAATTTATGCAGAAAATGCAGTAAGAATCGCGACTATACCATATACTCTTACCGGAATCGGGTCCCTCTTTGTCATGAGTGACGACGTAGTGGTGGCCTTGGGATTCCAACCAATGGCGGATTCCCAATGCATTTTCAACGCAACCGACGAAATTGGGATTCAGTGAAGCGTACTCATTTGCTTTGTAGAAAACTCCGACGATTTTTTTGCTCCCCGGAGAAGCCTGCGTGTTTTTCGGCAACAAAATCAATGTCGGGAAACATATCTATTTTTCTCTTAAGAAGAAGATAGAGTGACTTACATGAAGCTGTCTGGTAAGAAGAGAGGAATTCCCAGGAAAAGCAAATGCCTGAAGCCCGTATGCTGCGACACGCCTTACCGCCGCCATGTCTTTCTCCGTCTGGATCAGAACACAAAAGTGATACACCTAAGATAAGGCCACCACGTAAGATATCAAAATTGCTTTTTCTACGATATAGGGTGGCACAGAAACACAAGAAAAGCCGAACCAAACATTTGAAAAATTGTGCTTTATATCTAGAAAAAATCTATTTCTACGTATAATATGTACACACTTTCCTATACATACAAAGATTTCATTTAGAAAAAAAAAATCACTTTTATATATGTATACAGGCAACTGTAAAATATATACAAAATGTATACACCCTCTAGCCACTTGTGTAGGTAGACAACTTGTTTTAAAAAAGACATCAATTGTTCGTGTAGATACAAAATTCTACGAGTTTATACAAATTATGTGTACACAAAGAATGATTGATTATAATAGTAAAAGGATTAGCTTATTAATTATAAATAGTAAATAATCACTTTGACCTTTATTATTTTTTCAAATAATATTAGCCGATTAATTATAAATTAATTGATTAAAAAGAGGAATAGTAATTTGTTTAAAACAACAAAAAATGGTAAAAATTTATGAAAAGGAAGGAATAATGTTTTGACAAAACAATAAAATAGGTATTATTGTTACGTCAAAGAAGTCAATTAGGTTTTTGTTATTTAAAATCAATCAATTGAACTTCTAAACTCGTAAAAACGCTCAATTGAGCTGTTTAACGAGTAAAGCACATCTCTTTAATCAATTAGGTTTTAGATCACCAATGGTACTTTAATTTTTTTTAATTCCTTTTCCTATTGGCTAAGGCAATCAAGCTGTTGGGGAACATTGGAGCCTCCTCCAACGGCTCTTAGGGGTAGGGTACATGTTTAATAAAAAGAAAAATTGGTTGTAAATGGGACTAAATAAGACCGAATAAGCTCCCGTAGGACTATTTTTGTTTCTGATCCTAAATGGGACTAAATTTCAATATTATTCCTGTTTTACCCTTAATGATAGTTCGCTCCTCCCAAAATCCCACATCTGCCAGATTGTGCGCTCCACTCATATCTCAGCTCATATAGATACAGAGTATCAATATTATACGAAGTAAGTGCTCAACGGTTCCATGGACGGGAAAGTTAAAGACGAAGGTGGGATGATGAAACACGGTGCATAGAAAGCAGTCGGAAAATCCATAGAAGATGACAAGGTATTCGATCCCTCTTTTGCTTCATATTTCCTTCCCTCTTTTGTTTCTCTTTTCATCCCTCATTTGTTTCAACTTTTTGTGGCAAGAGTAGAGTTCAAAGTATTGTTTCTTATTTGATTGTTAAAAAGTTCCAAACATAATCTGAAAATGCCTTTAAAATGGTATTCTTACACTTCAAAAATTTCAAACTTAATCTGAAAATGCCTTTAAAATGACATTCTCACACTTCAAAAATTCCATATTTTTCTCAGAAAATGTCATTCAAATGGCATTCTAGATTTATCATTTATGTTAGCATTCTAATGGAAATATTGTCATAGATGGCGGAGTCGGTTAGATCTGCAATGATGAAGTCCAGATTTGCAAGGCGGAGCTCAGATCTAAAGTGGTGGCGGCCACATCTGCAGGGGTGGCGGCCGGCGGCCAAATCTGCAGGGGTGGCGGCCGGCGGCCAAATCTGCATGGGTGGTGGCCGGCGGCCAAATCTGCAGGGGTAGCGGCCGGCGGCCACTTCTGACCAGATCGACGGCAGCAGTGGCGAGATCTGCAGTGATAACGGTCAGATCTGTAGCGGCAACCAATTCTGCGGTGGTGGCCGTGGCCGGCGGCGGCCGGAGTTCGGTGGTGACCGGTGACTGGGTGACCCGACAGTTTAGCTTTTGTCTGTAGCAACAAGTTTGTGCAAGCTTCAGGTGTATATATGTCCAATAACAAATAATAACTCCTATTTGGGGAAATCGTAAACTTTACTCCTATTTTAGCAATTAAGGATTCATTTACTCCTATTTAGGTAAATACCTCTAATAAAAAGTGTAAAAACACATCTTACTTCTTTTTCTTCTACACCTAAAAAATCTTCAATTTTCTAATATTCATTATACTCTTTATTATAATCTCATCTTCAACTTACTTAATGTTATTTATATCACATACATTGATCTTATGCATATATATAGAGAGAGAGGAAACTTCATGTCTGGCCGGCCTGACGGGCTGCTCCGTCCGGCTGAGCCCGTTTGGTCACCTTCCCGGTGGAATTTTTTGATGAAATTTTTTGAGCATGTTCCTCATCAAGTCTAGTTTGTCCATACCAAATTTCAGCTCAAAATTAGATCGGGAAGGCATTCAAATAATTTTTTGAAGTTGACTGCAGTTTTAAATGTATATTTTGACGCAGTCAACTTGAAAAAATGATTTGAATGTCTTCCCGATCGAATTTTGAGCTGAAATTTGGTATGGATGAACTAGACTTGATGAGGAACATGCTCAAAAAATTTCATCAAAAAATTCCACCGGGAAGGTGCCCAAACGGGCTCGGCCGGACGGGGCAGCCCGTCAGGCCGGCCTGATGAGAAGAGCACTATATATATATATATATATATATATATATATATATATATATATATACACACACAAATGTTCCTGTCAGGTATACCTGACAGGAACCGCCGTCCGGCCTCCTCCTTTTGGGGGCCTTCCCGGTGGTATTTTTTGCTCAAATTTTGTGTGTATGTTCCTCATCAAGTCTAGTTCATCCATACCAAATATCAGCAAAAAATTCAATCGGGAAGGTCGTCAAATGATTTTTGCAAGTTAACTGGTCCGTAATATGTATTTTCCGGACCAGTTAACTTGCAAAAATCATTTCACGACCTTCCCGATTGAATTTTTTGCTGAAATTTGGTATGGATGAACTAGACTTGATGAGTAACATACACAAAAAATTTGAGCAAAAAATACCACCGGGAAAGCCCCCAAAAGGAGGAGGCCGGACAGCGGCTCCGGTCAGGTATACCTGACCGGAAGATTACTCTATATATATATATATATACATAACATACTTACTTCGTATAATATTGTACAACGTTATTATTTGTACTAATAAGTCTCATATTAGTTTATTAGTTATATTCTTATTGTTTAGCATACACATATTATCATTAGAATGTCAATTTCAATAAAGTCAATTGATATACGTAGTCTTTCATGTACCTGTTAGAAGAAGTTTTTAAATTGTCGTCCATCTAAGAGTTGCGGAAAATGTTTTGTTGGGTCAACATCATCAGAAATGATCTTGGGGATTTAATCCTCATGATGCAATGACTGACGAAGATATATTATTCAAGCAACACTACGATGGTTTTCGATCTATCGCAAGCTCGCATTCCACATTTAATTCAAATAATATGATTCACTAGTTCGGAAAAGACTTTTCGCATCGATTAAAATAGGTTTTTGACATTGGTTGTACAATCGATGCAAAACTAGGCGATGTGAGAAGTACAAATTATCACATCTTTTCTATAATCGATGTAGAGCTAGGCGATGTGACAAGTACGGATTCTTTTTGATAAACGATGTAAAACGTTTTCACATCAGTTGTTATATAACTGATGTAGAAAAATCACTTCGCATCATATACTACATCGGTTTTGACCATGAGACGTGGAACATTTTGTTGTTTTCAAATTTTTTAAAAATAAAAATACAAACCGGGATTGGTCACCGGAATAACCGGTGCCGGTCTTGATTCAACTTACCCCACCCTCAGGATAGATAGGTCCGGGATCACAACCAGCCTCAAACCGGGATCCTTGCAATTATATCGACTTAAATGTCTAGGAAGGGACCTGCACTTGATATACTTATAGAAACACAAGATAACCTGTTTAATTTGTAAGGAATTGAACCTAAAACTACTCTTATCAACGAGTGAGACACCTATGATAAAAAAAAAACGAGTGAGACACCTACCAATTAAATTGTACTCCGTATCTATTTATTTATAGATATCGAAGATCAGAGGCGGCTTGCTTCTTTCTTACCTAATCAGGAAATACGTACTCCCTCCGTCCCTGTTTTTTCTCCTCTTTTGATCCGGCACGGAGATTAAGATAGTGAATTTTGTATAGTGGAGAGTTGTGCATAAGAGAGAGAAATGTGTAAGAATTGCTATGAATCACAATTTTTTTATCAAAAGTGAAAGGAGAGATAATTTCGGGACGCACGAAAAAGTAAAATAATTCACCAACGAAGGGAGTACTATTTTAGTAGTTGTTGTACATGAACTTGTTGCCCACCTACCGTAATACTATTGCGGAGTGCAACTTGATAAATCTTGCTTCCATTATTGCAAAGGACAAACTACATCATTGGGTTACATTCACATGCATAATGCATTTGGAAAATATATACTCCGTATAGTAATGGAGATGACTTTAGTTTTAATAATTAAATAAAAAATAGTCATACATGTATAGTCAATTAACTTGGTTTAACCTAGCCAGAACAGATAAAGTATGTGGTTTATTATCCCTTCTTTAGAATGATGCATGAAAAATGTTGCAGTGTAAACTTTTGGTTATTACTCCGCGCTATTTTGTTTTATTTTGACAAATCATTAATAAAGTGATTGAAAAAGTAAAAATTATGATTGAAATTTTAGTATAATAAAGTAATTGTTTTGAACTACATGTTTCTTTCGGAAAAAGAAAATATAATATTAATTCCCACTCACTTAATTTTGTCAAGTTGATGTTGAGTCTGAAATCAAAATAGTAAAACATATGTATTTGAGGTTTGTACATAGGAGATTGAAATGAACACAACCACACATTATATTCATTGCTTCCAAAGAAAAGTGGTAAAAACTTTGAGACAAGCCATAAAAGAGAGTTGGCAAAGTTCATTGGGACGTATACCTATTTTGGGATAATACAAAATTAAAAGAAAAGTGAGTCAAGTAAAATAAGACAAAGGGTGTACTACTTTGTGATATTGACTAATTTTGAACAATTAATATGATACATTCAGCAACTCATTTTGACTAATTTTATACATACAAATTTGAAGGCACACCTAATAATGTAAACAACTAAAATTGTGCTCACGTAACTCACATAGTCCCAATGTATGAGATAAAACTTCACATATTACAAATGAAATGATACGATTCGTCGCTTCATGTTGAATTTGGAAAAACATACTGATACAGTGATACCAGTAAACAGGTCCAATTTCAAAGAC